TATTATAAATTATATTATATATTATTATATATGTGCATCCCCTATTTAATGCATAGGGTAGCATTATATATATAGATAGATTATCTTAAATAGTGTATCTTAATAAATTAAATTCAATACAATGGGGCCCGCTCTTAATTAATCTTCTTTCCTTCATCCCTTTCCGCGATGCCTTCTCTCCTCCTCCACGTTCAGGATCTCCCTTCTTTCTCTAGTAGTTTTACAATAAAAATACTCAATTTTTCCAAGAAAAGGAAAAAAGAAAATTAGTAGGATTTCAATTACCAATTATATTAAAAAAAGTAATCCATATTTGGATTCTTAATGATTTTGTTTTTTTTTTTTTTTTATAAAATCTCATATTTAGATTATGATTTTGGGTGATGTGGGTTACATAACCTATGCAACCACACGTAGCTTCAAACCAAAAATATCAAAAATCATTGAAATTACAAACTCAAAGCAATTAGAATAACTTTACCAATTGAACAAGTTACTAATTTATTGAGCAAAATTATTATTTCCTTTAAATCTCATTCAACCAAACTATGAATATACATAAAATCTAATTGATCCCTAGATCTTGTACAACAATAAAATAACTCTTGTAAAACAAAACTAATCAAATTATATAAGAATGGAGATTTCAATTTCAAAGCAGCATTAGTGGTCTATAGGATCTCAATGCGGTGAACCTAGGTTCTCACACAATGAACCCAACCTAATCAATTTGGGTTCTCTTTGCTTCCAGATCAATATGTATTCTCCATACAATCTTGATCGTATAAGATTGCCTTATGAGAGAGTAATGAAGGGACAAAAGTGGGGGAAGCTAAGAAAGAGACATGGAGAAGAGATGAAGAAGGGGCTAACAAAGGGAAAGGGAAAAGATCGCTGCTAGGGAAGAAAAAGGGAGAAAGAGATCATTATTGATGCTAGAGAATAAAGGTGAACGGAAAGAAAGGAAGAAAAGGGTGAACAAGGGAAGAAGACAGTAACAGATAGTTTTTTAATTTCACTTAATTAGTGTTTAAACATCGGGCCGAAAAAATAGACTTACAATTTTAAATTAATTGCTTTAATTTTTTAGATTAGCATTTATCAGCCATACTTGCAAAAAAAATTAGGGGGGAAATATTTAAAACTACATCAAATTGGTAAAGTACTATAAGAAAAGATTTAAACAATTTTATTTTTATTTAAAAGTTAGAAAATTTTAGTTTTTTTAAAAGGAAATTAAGTAAAATGGTATAATTTTAGAGTATTTTCTGTTTAATGTTTAGCTGATAAATACTTTTTTATTAATTTATTTCTATGCAATAAAAGGGATTCTCTTATTTTCAATTTTTAAAGTATCCAAATGCACCTGTATATGCCATGTAAGCAAAAAAATGAAATGTAAACTCTTTCAATTTCCACATAACATTTAAAATTAATAAGTGGAAAGGTCGTGGCAAGTTAACGTGATAATTGGCAATTTCATTGATGGAAGATCCAAGTAAAACAAATCCAAATTAGAGGAGCCTTATAAGTATATCTTGCCTCTTTTTTTTCTTTTTTTTTTTAGACAATGAGAAGCAGTTTTTTTTCCATCAACTTAATCAATTCACTCAACCTGCATATCATTTAATTCAAACTCAAGATTTTTTATTTTAAAAAAACATTATTACAAAGTTGTATCTTGTTTTGTTATATTCTCATGCTCAATAAAAAAATAAATAAATAATCATTTCAAAAACAAAGAAGGTTAAATCACCATTTTGGTCCTTAAAATTTAAGTTTTAGATCATGTTGGTCCTTAAACTTTAAAAACTACCAAAATTGTTCTTACAATTTAATTTTCCATTACCTATTTAGTCATTTTGTCAATAAAATGTTATCGTGGACTATTCAGTGACCCAAAAATACAAAATTTTAAATCTAAAATATTATATCAAAATTCTAAATTTGTTTTATTAATAAAGTGGATAATTTTCATTATTTATCTAATACTTTGTACGTAAGTCTTTTGTTCATAAAATTAATAGTATATTAATTAATAAATTAATTAAAATATAATGGGACCACTCACTTTAATAAGTTACCAACTCGCTAATGATTTTAATTAACTTACCTTCCTATCATTTTTAATGTAAAATTATCTTAAATAGTGTATTTTAATAAATTAAATTCAATATAAATGAGGCCGGCTCTTAATTAATCTTCTTTCCTTCATCCCCCTCCTCACTGCCTTCTCTCCTCCTTCACTTTCAATGTCTCCTTCCCTTCTCTAGTATTTTTACAATAAAAATACTCAAATTTCCCAAGAAAAAAATAAAAAATTAGTAGGATTTCAGTTGCCAATTATACTAAAAAAGGTAACCCATATTTGGACTCTTAATGATTTTTTTCTATAAAATCTCCCATTTAGATTCTGATTTTGGGTGATGTGGGTTACACAACCTATGCAATCACATGTAGCATCAAACCAAAAATATAAAAAATCATCGAAATTACAAACTCAAAGCAATCAAAATAATTTTATCAATTGAACAAATTACTAATTTATTGAGCAAAAATATTATTTCCTTTAAATCTCATTCAACCAAAATATGAATATACATAACATCTAATCGAACCCTAGATCTCGTACAACAATAAAAAAACTCTTGTAAAACAAAACTAATCTAATTATATAAGAATGGAAGATTTCAATTTCAAAGTAGCATTAGCGTTCTATAGGATCTCCATGCGGTGGATTTAGGTTCTCACACAATGAACCCAGCCTAATTGAGTTGGGTTCTCTGTGTTTCTAGATCAATATGTATTCTCCATACAATCTTTGATTGTATAAGATTGCCTTTATGAGAGGGTAAGGAAGGGACAAAAGAGGGGGAAGCTAAGAAAGAGACATAGAGAAGAGATGAAGGAAGGGTAAAGGAAGAGGGAAGAGATCGCTGATGCTAGGTAAGAAAAGGGGAGAAAGAGATTGTTGATGCTACAGAATAAAGGTGAAGGTAAAAAAAGAAAGAAGAAGGTGAACTAGGGAAGAAGACAGTAATAGATACTTTTGTAATTCACTTAATTAGGGTTTAAAAGTTTGGCCGAAAAAATAGACTTATATTTGTAAATTAATTGCTTTAATTTATTGATTAGTATTTATTAGTCATACTTGAAAAAAATTAGGGGAAAAAACATATAAAACTGCACCAAATTAATAAAGTGCTATAAGAAAATATTAAAACAATCTTATTCTTATTTTAAAAGTTAAAATATTTTAGTTTTTTTCAAAAAAAATTAATTAAAATAATATAATTTTAAAGTATATTCTATTTAATGTTTAGCTGATAAATATTTTTTCATTAATTTATACATATGCAATAAAAGGGATTTGCTTATTTTCGATTTTTAGAGTATACAAATGCACCTGTATGTGCCATGTAAGCAAAAATGGAATGTAAACTCTTTCAATTTCCACGTAATATTTAAAATTAAAAGTGGAAAGGTCGTGGCAAGTTAACGTGACAATTTGCAATTTTGTTGACTGAAGATCCAAGTTGGCAACAAAAAGTTAGAGTTTAAGAATGATTTTAGTAGTTTTTACAGTTCAAGGATCAACTTGTTCCAAAACTCAAAGGTCAAACACTCGTGGCATAAGACATTGAAATTTCTGATTTTTTAAGTCGAAACAACATTTTTTTTTTTTTACTTTACTGTTAATGTTAATATCTATTCTGATAAATATTAAACGAGTCGTGATCTCCACTTTGCTCCTCAAAAAGAAGGAGCGTGGTCGCGTAGTGGAGTTCAAACAACACCTTTTTTTTTTAAATAAGTCGAAACAACACCTTAAAATGTGCATATCTCGTATGCTAAAATTATTACATAAAATATTATTAATAAAATAATTATAAATAATTTAATTAATATTAATTTTTCTTATTTTTTATAATAATTAATATAAAAAATATTTTAATTATAATCTTAATTTATGTCCAACCTTTTATTTAGTTTCAAAAATACTAAAAAACCTCTCTTTAATATTCTCTTTAAACAATTTCCACGTAAT